AACATAACGTCTGTCTGTGTCAATTTACTTAATTTTTATGATAAAGAAGATGACAACTTAAAATTTTATCAACTTATAATTTATAAGCAAAGAAATGTGAAATGTAATGGAAATTTAAAAATTTGCATCCCAGATTTGGTAGCTAAAAATAGATGTGACGTTTTACAACCTCCCGACCAATTAAAATCTCTCGGCTAGAAAAAGGAATAGCGACCCATTCTCCATCTTTCTTTCATCTCTAATTTTACTGCAATTTCTTTCTTTTTTATCGGGGTGTCACCATTAGAGGAAGTTATATCAATGTCTCAAGAGACATTGCATTGTTATATCAATGTCTCAAGAGACATTGCATTGTTATATCAATGTCTCAAGAGACATTGCATTGTTATATCAATGTCTCAAGAGACATTGCATTGTTATATCAATGTCTCAAGAGACATTGCATTGTTATATCAATGTCTCAACATTGCATTGTCAATGTCTCAAGAGACATTGCATTGTTATATCAATGTCTCAAGAGACATTGCATTGTTATGAAAATGACTCTAGTTCTTTTTACATTCTTTAGGTACGTATAGTTTATATTCACAACACAAATAGACATTTCTTTCTTGTTCTTTGTAAATTTAGGATAATTTAATGAACGTATGGCAGATTGGGTTAGTTTTAATCATTGGTAGTTATTCTGACTCACGTGATCTTTCTCGGAGAACCGAGTTCCAATTTCAGTCGGGTTCATTATATTTACACACGCGCAAATACCCTTTGGAAAGGTATGAATCTGTGGGAAAATTAGATAAAATCGATAGATAAAACAATAATAATAATATTGTGTTGGTGCATAATTATCAGGCGTTTTTGTAGACGAGTTATTTGTTAATAAAAATTGCTGTTCTTTTGTTTACTTTCTTTTAATAAAAATATTATTTTATTTTCAGGTTATGAAAATCCGTTTCGATAATCACACGCTCCTGAATAATCATTTAAAAATGTTATTGTTGATTTGTTATGTTTCTTTTTTTTCATAATAAATATTGTTTTAAAAAAACGCCTGATAATTATGCACCAATCACATACAAAAAAGCAAAAGCAATACATTTTCCCATTATGCTAAGACTAAAGGAAGCAAAAATATACTTACCCCACTTGCTAACGACATTTTTCGAAAAATGTCGTTAGGTGGCGTTGCTGAAGTCTATAAAAAATATCAAACATTTCTGCCTCAAATTCTTTCTCAACTTTGCTCCAGGATGTCAATCACGTGGTAATTATGTTCCTACTGGGCAATGTTAGTTTCCTTGGTCCACTGACGACTGAACTCTCATCCTGCTTTCCGACGCACGGCACTCGCACGTATCGTACAAAAACCTCAACCTAAGAAGTAGGTCATGCTTTCCCTTTGGTTGTTCCAACTCAGCACAAGGCTGCCTTGAGCGCGATCACAGTAAAAATGTTTGTACTGACTTACCCTAATTTCTGGACCAAGAAAAAGAAGAAAACAGACTTCCATAAGCATGTTTAAATCTTCCAACGATTTTGTAAAATGAATAAATTAGACACATTCGAATTATAGCGGCCTCTTTATTAGAGAATATTGTTTAATCTGTTTAAGAAATCATGAAGACTTCTCTTTATTGAAAATTACTAATAAGATCAGTCAGTTGCGTGTCATGCATGATACACGCTTAGGCGATCATGTATCTTTCGGTACATGACTGACGAGGCAGATTTTTTCCCGCAGTAGCCTGCTATTTATTCCTGCAGTAGACTAATTGCCATCGCTATAGAACCCGGTCTATCCTGCTATTTACACGTAGCTGGAGGGAGAAGAAGACGATTCATACTTTTCCCAATGGTCTTAGCACGTACGTGAATGTAATGGATTTGACTGGAATTCGAACTCGGTATATATACAAGGGATTAGTCAGTTGTGTACCATGCGTGATACACGCTTAGGCGATCATGTATCTTTCGATACATGACTGACGAGGATTATTTTTTCCCGTAGTTGGTTGCCAACTCTTTCTGCGGTAGACCAGTTGCCATCCAAGGCTATAGAACCTGGTCTGTCCTGCTATTTACCCATAGCTGGTGGAGAAGAAGATGATTCATATATTTCCCACGTAAGTGAATCTAATGGATTCGACTGGAGTTCGGACTCGGCTCTCTGATTCCTCAATCCGAGCCGCTATCCATTACTTCACCGTGCCTCCTAATAAAATACAATATTCATATTGAGAAGCTGACAACTTAAAATTTTATTAACTTATAATTTATAAGCAAAGAAAATCTATACAGCATTTAAAGCAGTGATTCTCTACCCAGACCCTTAGGCCTACAAATGGGCCTTAGAAACTATTAAATTGGGCCTGGCGTTGGCCTACTTGACCTGAAAAAGAACAAAGAATTGATGGGAAGAATTGAAAGGGAAGGATTGATTGGATGACTGAAAGTAAAATCCTTTTATCCGTTGCTCTTTGAAAAAGGTCGTTCCATTCTGATTTGCTTTTACCGTCACCTGGTTGGCTGAGGTGGGATTTTCTACAGCCAATGATGTACTTACAAAGAAACGTCATTTATTGCAGATTGAAAAGATAAGACTTACGCCTGAGGCTGAACCAAGGCTTGGAAGTTTAACTTGACAAGCTGATAGATAGACAGCATTTTCTTGTACATTTTGAATTTGTAAATAAAATGTATTTCCTGTTACATAGTATATTTTTATTTGACCTGATGTGGGCATGCATTTTTATATGACACCAAAAATAGGCCACAAGGGCGAATACAAAGTTGAGAAACTCTGATTTAAAGTATAGCTCAAATTATTAATCTGCAAATTTTCAGCATTCAAGTAGGCATAGTTATTAAAGTTATGAGAACTTTTACATTCTTCAAGTAAATAAATCCGAGTATTTTTCACGCGTAGTCTTGTGTTCACTACTACGTACGCGCGCCGTGTATAAATAAAAGTACTCAGTTCGAGTAACAATCCGAGTAGAAATCGGAGTATAAGTTCCAACCAATATAGTAAAAGGAATCATTAAGACATCTTGTGTCTTGTTTATTATCTGTTGCAAGAAGAAACTGGATTTTAAAAAAATAGCAAAAAAAAAAAAATAAAGTAAATAAATAAATAAAATAAAATAAAAATAAAAATAAAAATTGGGAAACACATCAACAATTTCCGGATTATATTTATTTTAGGTTTGGATTTACATTATATCGGCCTTCTTTCCCTTCGTCTTTGTCACTGTGGACGATATTTTTGTAAGGTTAAATTTTCAACCTCTCGCAAGGGAATTAACAAGAAAGGTCTAAATATATTTGATAGCAAACAGTTGGAAAGGATAATTTTCTTAATAATTCATATAAATAAAACATTGTGCAGTGAAAATTTCAGATTAAAATTCAGCTAATAAATTGCGTCTCAGGCTACAGACCGAGTACACCTCTAACTCACACATAGATGCACACATTTAAGTGTGTTGGTGTGAGTTGAATATATCATTCAAATACGTGTCTATAATTATATATTTCTTTCTATTCATTTTGTCTGCATGACCCTGTGTACGTTTGAATGCATTATTATTAATGATTGGAGACTTAGTAAGTGCCTTGACGAGTAGCTTTATTTCTTTTACCGCCTTTTTATCTGGTGTCTAGGCCTTTCAAACTGTTATTGGATTCTACAGGAGTACCGGATGCTCGTATATCGATTGTTATTTCAAAGCCCAACCAAGCGGAACAAGTCATAAAATTACTCTGGTTATAACTCACTGATATTATGATTCATTTATGAATGGCCATACTGCTAGTGTCTGGTGACTACTCACTGGAGATCACGTGACAGTAAGTTTCCTCGATGTTCCAACACTCTCTTCAGTATTTTCACTGAATCAGACGGCATTGTTATCAGTATAATTATTTGTAGTATTTCCTAATCTTATCGCCATTTTACATAGGTCGACCCGAGATCAAACCAACTACTCTGCTCATTATGGCTACCGGTTTCATTCGTTTGCGCTGCCCTTCCGCCGCATCAAAAAAAAAATAAAAATAAAAAAATAAATAAATAAATAAATAAATAAAAAAATTAAAAATATAAATTTACGTAAACAGAATTTGAACGTTAAATACTCAAACTGTGCTAAATGTACTAAATATAAGATATAAGATATTGGTGCTTCTTTTTTTAATCACCTAAGCAATGCGATAATGCCACTAAGATGCAAGGGGTTACTGGGTGTGAAATAGAATAAGAAGACTTTATAAGGAACCGGAAACAATCCAGGAAATAAGGGATAAATCAATAGACGGAGAAGGAGTGTGAACCGGGAGATATGTGAACCTACCTACTCCTGCTGTATGGCATTCATAAAATAAATCAAAGGTTTTAATGTTTATAAACTTACACCGCCTAACAATTTCATACTTAATTATGTGTTTTAGTCTTAAAATTCACTTACGCTTCATACAAAAGTAAGGATTGTGATGCTTAAAAAAATGGTCGGCTAGCATCTTAATTTTCACGTTGCTTTCTATGATATTCCGATTTTCTTCACATTTTTGTCATATGTTCTTCACATTTCCTTCATATTTTCTTAATATTTCTTCATATTTTTTCCATATTTTCTTCGTATTTCTTCATAGGTTCTTTTTATTTTTTCATATTTTCTTCATATATTTTCACATTTCCTTAATATTTCTTCATATTTTCTTCATATATTTTCACATTTCCTTAATATTTCGTCATATTTTATTCACTTTTTCTTCATCTATTCATATGTCTTTATATATTTTTCATATTTTCTTCATATATTTTCACATTGTTTTTCATAATCTCTTCGTATTTCTCCATATTTTCTTCATATTTTCTTTATGTTTTCATATTTTCCATATATTTTTTTAATATTTCTTCACATTTTCTTCACTTTTTCTTTGTCATATTTTAAAAATATTTTCTTCATATTTTCTTAATATTTTTCTTTGTATTTCTTTTTATGTTCTTCACATTTCTTCAAATTTTATTTATATACTTTCATTTCCCTTCCTTTCAACATTTAACTGAAAACTTTTCCTATCCATTATCGTTCTTCTTCTTCTTCTTCTTCTTCTTCTTCTTCTTCTTCTTCTTCTTCTTCTTTCATTCTTTCTTTACTTTTTTCGTTTTCCTTTTTTCGCTTTTGTCATCTTTTTTTTCTTCTTTTCATTTATTCCCATTGATATATTTTTCTTTTTCTTCATCTTTTTCTTCTATATGTCCCTTTCCTTTTAGTTTCATTTTCTTATTTTTATTACATTGCTTCTCGTTCCTCCATCAAATTAAGCAGTCAGTACTTAGATGGGGGAACATTCCTTTTTCTAAGTTTTTGTTTTGTCCGTTTTTTTTTTTCTTTTAATCTTCCTGTTTTTTATTTCTTCTTTTCATTTTTTCTTCTTCTTTGTCATCCTCTATGAGTTTCGATTTTTATTCATTCCCCTTAATTTCGTTTTTAATTCTTTCATTTTTTTCAAGTCCTCGTTTTTTGTTCTTCACTTTATTTTTTCTTTTCTTTTTAAAACTGTTTTCTTTTCATTTTATTCTTTTCCGTTATTTTTCCTTTGTTTTTCTTTTTCTTCTTTTTCTTCTTTTTTCCTTTTTTTCATTTTCTGTAACTCTATAATCCCAAATTCTAATTTCCTTCTGCTTCTCTTATATTTTCCTTCTTTTTTCTACTTTTACTTCTGTTCTCTCTTCTTTTCTTTTACCTTTTCTTTTTAATATTTTTCTTTTCTTTTTTTCGTTTTTTGTTAATTTAATTGTTTTTCTTTGTTTTCTTTGTTTTTTCTTGTTTTTTTTTTTTACATCTTTGCCTTTTTATTCATTTTCTTTAGCATCTTTTTTTAAATTCCGAACGTCCTAATTCCAATGTCTTCGCGTCCTTTACGCATTAGCTGACAATTTCAACAATATTCTCATGCGTTCGACATCTCATCGCATAGGGTTACGCCAAAAAAAAAAAAATCTTTTATCGAAAATTCTTGCCAATTGATTCTTCCTTTTGGAATCTTTTCAAGTTCAATAAATCAATAAAATTAAAAACAATAAAAAATGCCATCTGTTTTAGTGTGAGAATAACTTTTTCCTCTTAGGCCTTGATGAATTGAAGATCTTGGAAATTAACGGCGAACAAAATAAAATATATAAAATTGTTAATATCGAATAAATCAAGAATGAAACTGAAAGAGAAATATGATTCAATCAATCACTGATAACATCTCGGTGTGTAACATATTTACGTATCTACTAGGATGCCAGTAGTCGGTGTTCGAACATTAGTAAAAGCTAGAATTCCCACTATTGATTTCAAGACAAGCAAGCAATCCCTCGCCATCTTGATTATTAGCAAAAAAAAAAAAAAAACAAAAACAAAAAAAAAACATGCATCCTATCATGTTTGTTTTCCCAATTTATCTTCGAATTTTGTTCTCAGCTTAGTATTTATCAATCCACCAACGAGGATAGAATGTGGCACAAGGCCGGTTTAATGTGGGTATCCCCGAGCCCGTAGGCTCGGCCAAAAATATAGCCTTTTTGAACCGGCCTTGACGGATTCAGGCCCTGTCTACCTCCCCGAATGAAACCTTGCCCTTCGGCAAAGCTTCGTCCGGGTTCCTCTCTGCTAATGCAGAGCGTTCGACAGACGCCGACTCGGAAGCTCACAAAGGCAGCGTACTACACTTTGATCATGGCGTTCTCAGCTTAGTAAACATTGTAAATAGCAAGCAGTAATACCCAATGTTGCCCGCGAAAGATTCAAATAGAGGGAAAGAATTTTTTCAAATATTTCTTGTTACATAACCCAGCAAATGATAAAAATTATTAAAACTACTTGCAGAAAGAAAATTTTGATATTATTGAAATCTCTTCTGGTGTGAGAAATGAAAGAAAACCCTGATTTTGAATGAGCGTCTGGGTTCGCAAAATTATTGCTTCTCTCATTAGGTCGAGAATGAAAGCATTGTTTTAGGATGCGGCAAATAATAGAAGAGGCTGGGAGAAAAGATAGAGAAATTGTGCTGAAAGAAGTGATCTTAGAGATTGAGGATTTGCCTTCTTTAGGGACATGGTAAACTCAGACTTAGCGGGAATAAAGTCACTTGAATTAAAAGAATATCTATCTATCTATCTATCTATCTATCTATCTATCTATCTATCTATCTATCCTTGTTTCTTCCTATCTATCTATCTATCTATCTATCTATCTATCTATCTATCCTTGTTTCTTCCTATCTATCTATCTATCTATCTATCTATCTATCTATCTATCTATCTATCTATCTATCTATCTACGTTTCTTCCTTCTTTCCTGTAAATATCTTGGATCAGTCATAATTAATTTTGTATAAAAGATAAGGAAATTGAAAAATTGAATAGGCTGCGCTTGGTGTAGTCTTGTCCGACAAGGAAAAAATTCTAAAATATTAAAACATTAACCCAAGTACTTGAGTCACGTTCTTAAATAACCTCGTCAAATCAAGACTCTAATATGGATGCCATGCATGATGCTGAGCTCATTCAGAAATGTCAACTGTATCCAACCGCATTCTCAGATTAATGGTTAAAAAGACCTTCGAGCGAATGAATGCTGTAGGTCTTAGCGGGGATCATACTTCTCCGAACCTCGTGGACTGGCGCTACAGAATCACAAACAAAAGAATTTACCAAATAACAAAAACCACAAAACTTGAAGACTTTCAATAGCGGCCAAAAGTAAAATGGATATCAAATGTAACTCGAAGAGAAGATGATGAAATGATCAAGATGCTGACATTCAACACCACTTCAAACAAAAGGCTAGGAAGGAAACTCCCATCCATACTGGATAAGACCGATAACAGTTACTGAAAAGAGCTTACAAAGAAGGCTCTTCATGGTTTCCTGCCAGTCTTCAGCAAAATCGCTACCATTTTGGTTACTATTCCTGTCATAAGTTCTTCAACGGCCCCAGACAAATGGAGTACAATGAATAAAAAATTATCAAACTGTATGGGTAGTACTAATGGAATGTATTCTAACATGTCTACTGGAAAACATTATTGACTAAATAATTGATATATTTTAGAAGTGTTGTATAGTATTGAGTAATAAAAAAGATTTTTAGAAATTGGTTCTTGTGATTTTATTTGGTTTTGGCTACAATTTCAGGCACATTAAGCTCTCTTCTCTAATAATAATGGTAATATTAGCCTTTTCCTTATAAAGAAACATTTGGTATTCATTGATCGTGCAGCCAGTGTTACTTTTGTCTGTTATTTATAATTTTTTTCTCAGAACACAATTTTTCAGAAAAATAACCAAGGATCGGATATGATAGGAAGCAACATAAAAGTTCTATGTTGACCATTTCTTTTCTCCCTTGTGAAAATCTCTTCCGGATTCTTGCTTTTTCCAGTCAAGTTTGATCTTCAAAAATGTAAATGTCAGTCTTCAACTGTCTGTCTTCTTAATTCCTGTTCTTTTATTCTTCCCGCCTCTTAATAATGTTTCTCTTTTTCATATATTCCTTCACATTTGGTAACACCCCCCTACGTCTTAGTGGCTTTATTGCCTTGCTTGGGTTGAGTGCACTAGATGTTATTGCTCTTTTCCAATATTGGCGGGTGCTTTCTTTACATTTTTTTGTCTTTTTTATGCTCTATTCGAGTTAGATATGCTATCCATTTTATTTGTTGCTGCTGTTGGTATTCCTCAAGTGATATTATTATTCTGTTATTTGATACAGTTCTTTTGAAGGATTCGCTAGCGCCAGTCCAAAAGTTTCGAAGAAGGATGGTCCTCGTTAAGTCGTATAGGTTACATTCGCTCAAAGACATTTTTAACTTTCGACCTTAGAATGCGTTTGTATACACCTGACAGTTTAGATATTTCTGAAAGCGTTTTACAACATGCATGACATCGATAGTAAGCCTCGATCTAACGAGCCTATTTAACAAAATGTCACGAATGTTTTGGTTTTGTAGTAATTTGTGGTATTGGGAGAAACTCTACTTGTCTTTTCACGCAAAAATTTTTGTTGCTCACTTTAGTTACTGATATAGTCAGTCCACATAGGCGATAGGGAGTGTGGGACAGTTCATTACAACACCTCCCCCTGAACTAATTTTCCCAAGAAATTTTGCTCTGTACCTCTTCTTTTTGGGGTCAAGACATAATTGTTTGACTTTTTCCTTCTTCCTATTACTTTTCCGTCTCACCAGCACAAAACTACAGTTTCTGGGAGATAACATCTAATCTTGCGGTATCAAGAGCAGTAAACACACATTTATACTCACAGTTATATGCCATGCGTGGTACACGCTTAGATTTTTCGATACATGACTGACGAGGAAATTTTTTTTCCGCAGTAGGTTGCCATTTCTTTCTGCAGTAGACCAGTTGCCATCCAAGGCTTTAGAACCCGGTTTGTCTTGCTATTTATCCATAGCTTGGAGAGAAGAAGAGGATTCATACCTTTCCCAAGGGTATTAGCACGCAAGTGAATGTTAAATATTCAACTGGAATTCGAACTCGACTCTCCGATTTTTCAATCCGAGCCACTATCCACCATCCCTCTTATATACTCACACGCGTGTAAAATCTGCGATAGCGAAAATGGAACGTATTTATCCTTTTCGTTTTGTCTTTTGTTTTTTTTTATGTTTTTGTTTTTGCTGTTCAAAATGGGTGGAGTTCCGTTCCCAATTTGTGTGTACTGCTTCACCTTTTATATATATATATATATATATATATATATATATATATATATGTGTGTGTGTGTGTGTGTGTGTGTGTGTGTGTGTGTGTGTGTGCGCACATTAACAATAATTCCGGCCGTCAATGCTCACCACCGTTCCTCGCACCCCCACCAGGCGCAGAATCATTAATTATGCGTTCTTTTCCACTGTGTTTGCCGAATTCCACATGGAAGCTGGTTGACTAATGTGAAAAGATATTCAACAAGACAACTGTAATCTCTTTTCTCTTTCATATCGATTGAGCCGCTGCATTCGTGTCTTATTGAAAATGTCACTACATAAGTAAATGTATACTTGCTAAGATGGAAGCCGATGCCCACCCCATACGCTTGCATATATTAGCGTCTAATATTTCTAACTGCATCCAAAACGTGGTGTGGATGTTGGGCATTCTCTGGTGGTGTTGAACAAATTTCGTTCTGTAATTATATGTGTGTGTGTGTGTAAAGTATGTATATTTATATATGAATATATCTACCTACCAATCTGCCTCTTGGTTTCTTCATATTTAAACACCTAGCTCGTTCAAATATATCTCGTCATTTTAAAATATATAACTTTATAGTTATCAGTCCGTACATGACTATCACTCATCACCTTTCTATCTATATCTCAGTCTATTCAATATCTATCTATCTATCTATCTATCTATCTATCTATCTATCTGAGTCTATTCATCATATCTATCTATCTATCTATCTATCTATCTATCTATCTATCTATCTATCTATCTATCTAAGTCTATTCAATATCTATCTATCTATCTATCTATCTATCTATCTATCTATCTATCTATCTCCATCTATATATTTATATTTATGTCTCTCTTTCTCTCCTTCCTCCCTCTCTCTCTATCAATTAATATCAGTCTATTCTTTTTATATATATTAATCCAGAATGTATGGTAAACATTTTTTATCATTCAACATTGCTGGGTTATCTGGCCTACCTATTCTGTTATGCATTCAAAGAAGACTCTACAACGTTACCGGTCCTGACATGGCATTTCCGCTTCAGTCACCGTACCATAGCGTTCATATACCTTTTATGGTAATTCTTCTGATGAGCTTTCATCGTTGGTACCTCGACTTTACGAATTTAGGCGCAGTACTAGATTGGCAGATAGATTTCATTATTTTATAGTTGGAATAACTAGATGTAATCGTATGCTCTTACGATTTCTTGCTTTCTAGTCAACTTTGATTTCTCATCTTAATGTTTTTTTCTTTTCCTCGATATTTCCCGCTTAGTAACCACTTCCGTCTTAGTGGCTTTATTGCCTTGCCTGGGGTGAAATGGTTAAAATAATTGTATTTGTGTATGTGTTGATAAAGTTCCATTCTTTTGTGTATGTAAAATTTTAATACACAATATTATATTAATGTTTATTACGTATTTATGTACAGCGTTCGATAGATAAATTTTCGTCTAAATTACGCAAAAATGAAAATAACACTGACATCTCATTCTAAGAGATATATTTACCAAAATTACATAAAAATATCTTGAAATACTAAAGAGTAAATTTATTTAATAAAATTGCCATTGGCTTCAATCACGGCCTCCAGATGACTTTGGAATCCCGTACATCTCTTCTGGACGGTCCCTTTGTTTAAGTTGGTGAATGCTGCCATAATCCTTGCCTTCAGTTTATCTTTGGTGTTACCGTAGTTTTGTTGGTCCCTCGCTCAACTGCGCTCAACACATAATAAACAAGGGGGGTGGGATCTGGAGAGTTCGGTGGCCAGATGTAATAGGTCATATGGTCGCAGAAATTGTTTGACAGCCATGACTGGATTCTCCTGTTTGTGTGGCATGGTGTAGAGTCCTGTTGCCAGACATAGAGTCTTCTAGTAGCCACTCTCTTGACCCAGGGCAACACCGCCTCCTTGATGTAGGTCTCCATGTTGAGTATGGAGCTCTCACCAACAAATTATATATATACAGGATGCGATGGATAAATTGTCATCTAATTTAAGCAAAAATGAAATTAACACTGACATCTTATTTTAACAGATATATTTACCAAAATTACATAAAAATATCTTGAAATACCAAAGAGTAAATTTATTCAATGAAAATCGCCATTGGCTTCAACCACGACCTCCAGACGACATCGTAACCTCCTGTAGCCTCCTGTTTAATGCTGCCATAATCCTTGTCTTCAGTTCATCTTTGGTCTTATAAGGAGTTTTGTTGGTCTCTCTCACGAATACGCATAATGATCAAGATCGTTGCAGTCTGGAGAGTTAGGTGGCCAGATATAAAGGGTGAGGTGGTCGCAGAAATTGTCTCACTGCCATGACTAGGTTCTTCTGCTTGTGTGGCATGTTGCAGAGTTCTGTTGCCAGAAATTGGTTCTTCCAGCAGCCACACATTGACCCAGGGTAGCGTTACCTTTACTTGATGTAGGTTTCCGTGTTGAGCCTGAGGCCCCGTGGGAAGATAAATGGAGGCATAACATCGCCTTCGTAATCCCCATTAGACTCATCCAACTCTTTCCGAGTCCTCTGCACTATCCACAGATTTCGTTATTGTGCCTTTTTTTTCTTCTCCCAGAGAGTGACCAACTGACCTTACTATACTGCGGAGTTGACAAAATCAAAAACAAACGGCGCGAAATTAAAAATATAAAATAGCGACAATTTACTCATCGCACCCTGTGCAATAGGAATGGTTATATAAGAATAGATAAATTCGACCGAAGATAATGGAAACCATGTAATTCAAATTCAATGTCCTCTCTTCTTATTTCCTCTTCTTTTATTGATCTCTCTGTTTAAGAATACTTTATCCTTTTCATATATTATTTCACACCCAGGAACCCCTTGCGCGTCTTCGTGGTTTTATTGCCTTGTTTGTGGTTAAAACGATTAAAAATATATATTGGTATCCGTTCTTGTCTATATGTATGTATGTCGTTTGATATATAATGTTGATCGTCGTGCAAACTTATTGGACAAGTCATTGATATTGTTTTTACTTCTATCTATCTATCTATCTATCTATCTATCTATCTATCTATCTATCTATCTAAGCCTGTTTAATTATTTCATTCTGTCTATATATTTTGGGAACTTCGACGTGGTGTAATGGCTACCAAGCATGTCTTTCTCTATCAGTTGCGCCTGAAAAGTCACTTCGAGCCCAGTTTGTATATCTAGCTCAGTTTTCTTATCTATCTATCTATCTATCTATCTATCTATCTATCTATCTATCTATCTATCTATCTTAAGCAGGCAATTCTCAGCGACTTTAGACGCAGTCATACACCGTCGTGTACTCATAATAATCGTATAGAGAAGGTATTTGCATATAATATCCACCTTCATATTCATTCAGTAATCTATCTGAATCTCTTAAACTATTTCTATCTCAGTCTGTATATCTAGCCCAGTTTTTTTATCTATCTATCTATCTATCTATCTATCTATCTATCTATCTATCTATCTATCTATCTATCTATCCCAGTTCTGTTCATATCTATCTATCTATCTATCTATCTATCTATCTATCTATCTATCTATCCCAGTTCTGTTCATATCTATCTATCTATCTATCTATCTATCTATCTATCTATCTATCTATCTATCTTAAACAAGCAATTCTTTGCCAACAACGACGTTAGACGCAGTCATACACCGTTGTGTACTCCTAATAAGCATATGGAGACGGTATTTGCATATAATATCCACCTTCATACTTATTTACTCCGTAATGTAATGGATATTTTCTTTTCTGTCTCTTCTTTAACGTGCTTGTCAAAATCTAATGCAGCGATGACGACCGACATTTTTGTCTTCTGCTGTCAAAAATAACGAATGAATATTTTACACCGGCTTTTATGTCATGTACACAGACTTTCAGAGATAGCTTCGTGGTTAGAAAACTAGGAATTTTCATCTTTTATGATTTTATGTAATTTCTACAACTGGTTTTGCAGCATAACGAAATCCGCGAACTGGGTTCAATTTCTGGTGGTAGACCTATGTTTTTTTTACTAAAAGGGAAAAAGGTATGAATGTTATTTTTCTCAATTTCTTACTGTGGTTAGTGTAAATGGTTGACTGACGATTAAAGTTATGGCTTACGAAGGATAAGAATATTTTATTGAGTTATATCACTTTTTAGTGTAGTGTAAGAATTGAATGAATCGATTTGGTGGAGAACATTAATCAAGTAAGAACGTAATGTGACTTAGCAGTTGAAAAGGTCAGGTTTGTTGACTAGCTGTTCAGCTGGCAGGTGTTACTGGGAATCATTTCAGCGGTTTGTTTTGAAAACCTTTTCACAGTAAGGGACTTTTTCAGGGTCACGAGTGAAGACAAATTGAAAATTTGATCTAATGATTACCGACCCTCGGACTGATCACCGCTGATCTTTAATTATCATTATCAATATAATTAGCTATCTTAATTTTCTTCAATAGACAGAGTCGATTGTAATTACTGACCAGTCAAAGAATCTTGAATAAAGCTCTCTCCATCATAAAAAACTAGAGAGAGAGAGAGAGAGAAAGAGAGAGACAGAGAGAGAGAGAGAGAGAGTATGTGTGTGTGTATGCTTGTGTGTGTGATGAGCTCTCTACCGGAGCTGAGTGCGTGGGTGTCGCCTTTTTTTGAAAGAGCTTGGAATCACGCCCGCCTTGCGACTCAGAGAGACTGTGGAGCCGGTCACAATCATCTGAAGGCCTGAAACCATTCTTCCTTGACGAGATTCCCGCTAAATCAATCTAGGCTGCGCTTGTCCGGCAGCTTTGAGCTAATTAAACGCAAAATATGATCTCCCGTTACTCATTTTCTCCAATCAGTTCATTTCCAGTTGGGCATATTTTATTTATTCAATTTGTTTTTTTAATGTTGTACAGAGTACAATGGATAAATTGTCGTCTAAATTAGGCAAAAATGAAAATAACACTGACCATCTCATTTTAACGGATATATTTATCAAAATTACACAAAAATATCATGAAATACTAAAGAGTAAATTTATTCAATAAAATCGCTATTAGCTTCAACTACGGTTTCCAGACAACTTCGGAATATCCTTGAACTCTTCTGGTCTTTCACCTTGTTTAAGTTGGTGAATGCTGCCATAATCCTTGCCTTCAGGTCATCTATGGTGTTACAAGGGGTTTTGTTGGTCTCTCATTCAACTGTGTCCCACACATAATAAACAAGGGGATTGCTTTCTGAGGAGTTAGAGGTGATGTGGTCGCAGAAATTGTCTGACAGCCATGAATGGATTCTTCTTCCTAGTTGGCATCATGCAGAGTCATGCTGCCAGACATAGCGTTTTCCAGCAGCCACCCTCTTGACCCAGGGCAGCACTACCTCCTCAATGCACTTGATGTAGGCCTCCGTGTTGAGTCTTAGGTCCTGTGGGAAGATGAAATAAGGTATAACCTCGCCATCAGTGGTGATCACTCCAAACACCATAATGTTGACTGGATATATCATTAATCTCTTTCGGATCCCCTGCACTGTCCTCAGATTGACAATCAAACGCTTTGAAATATTCGTATTAGAGATTCCGGATCGAATTCGAAACAGTACAGCATGTCGTTTCCAAATTTCTGGCGGAGTGAATTGCTTCATTGTGCTCTTTTTCGCACAGACGGCGCCCAACTGACCCTATTATACTGTGTAGTCGAAAAAATCAAAAACAAACAACGCGCATGCGCGAAATTGAAAATATGAAATGGCGACAATTTACACATCACATTATTTAAATAAAGACAACATAATCTTATCTCAGCCGACGCGTTTCGTCCTCTGAGCGACTTTTTCAAACACGCCGGCTACGATAAGTTTTCCTTTTATCTTTATTCATATTGTCCTTTTACAGATATACTGTGTCTGAAATTTTCCCACATATATGTTTTGTAAATATATTACATTAATGCCTGTCAACTCTCCAGTTTCTGCATTTAAAATGTCGGCAACACCATCGGCGACATTTGGATGACACCGGACCATTCAAACGAGGTTTCGACATCCCTTCGTCAGAGCCGATCAAGCTCTTTCTGCTGAGCTTTCCACACAACCTGAGCACAGAAAGCATTGACGGAACGCCATCGTAGAATTAGCCGGACAATAACCCCATCTCACCAACTATATATAGCTATATAAATTATACTGATGAAGTTACTCGCCACTGTCACAATAGTTGAAAAATGGAAACAAAAAAGCGCGTTAAACTTAGAATCAGAAAAAGTCAGTTGAACTTTCTAGGGCATATAATGAGGAAGGCAGGCCTGGAAAATTAGACATACACAGGATATATTAAAGGCATCTTGGACAGAAGAAAGCAGAGAATGACTTACCTAGCGTGCTTATGTCTGTTTATCAGAACAGTGCGTAGAAATGATAGAAAAATGTTTAGTTTGGTTTGTTTAACGGCATATCAACACATTATGGGTCATTTAATGCCGAAATTAAATTTTGAGGGGAGATTTGGTAATTTTTTTCTCAAATTTATTGATGGTAATTATTCCCTTCCTTTTCCAATAATGTATTGGTAGGAATTTTTTTTTTTTTACTATGAAATGTTGCAGTTTTTTGTGTATATGTATGTACTAGTGAGTTAGCCCAAATGACTTGACTCACTTTATAGTCCACCAATAGAAGGTTAACCAATCAGAAGACGTAGAATATTCAATCCGTCGTGTATAAAGGCGGCCATTTTTGTCTACTCTACCCGAATGTCCAGTCCAGCTTGTCAGGCGAAGAGAAACAGAAGGACGAACTACGCTCTGCTACTCTTACCAAAATATCCACTGCTAACCTGAACTAAGCTTCCCTACTGTCTTCGAAATATTCACTGTTAACCTCTTGATTCTATACTCGAAGACGACCGTCATTATGAACAACAAGGAAAATATATTGCTGTTATTCTTACTACAAAAATATACTTTTATACTTTAATAATATTTTGACCCTAGTTTTTAGTGGTGCACTGTTTATCCATAGCTGGGGCCCTAACAGATGTTACCACATCGGTTCAGGCTGAACCCGAGAACAACTACAATTAAGAGGAGGTTCCACACTCCTCAAAGCCACCAGATCAGAGGCCTAGCTGCCGGACATAGTTTATCGTCATACCCAGGATGAGATAGGAAAAAGACTACTTACTAAGAGTTACAAAGGACACTTAGTTCTGAAGAGGTATGATCACCCACATCTCGAAGCGTCATGGTATATAAAAGAATTGATAATTGAAGTTACAGTGGCTGATGAAGGTAACGTTTTCGTATTTTTAATCATGAAAACATGCTTATCTATTACTAGATAACAAAGACTCTATGCAAACCTTCAGAAGAGAGGCTACTGGATGGTTGTGCGTCGTCGCAGGACTGTCATTATCTATTCCTACTTATTTTCTTTACGTAGTCAACAAATTAATTCTTTACCAATCATTTCGGGACATAGGCAATATTTTTGTTGGGGGTTTATGAATCGTTAGAAACATCGAATGATAAATGATAAATATATGGCCAAATTATAAATAGGATTTTTTCCCATTCAGTTTTAAATTGCGGCAATAACTGAATGTTAGAAAAATAAATGGCCGATAAAATAAAACTGTACGGATGAAAAAAGACATGCGTTACTGCCGGGATACAGTGCCAAAATAGCGTGAAGGAAAATAAATAACACAGACAATTTGATTTTTATTTTTATTTTAAAAAAACAAAAACAAAAACACTATTTTATGAGATCTTTTTTTATTTTGACTATAAAAACATCCTGATGGAACATTGATAAACAAACTCCATTTCGATCTGTCTTCGATATTTTGAAATTTAGACTAACTCTTATTAGACTTAATTATTATTTAATAGCTTTAAATTATTAATATTGTTTTTGTTTTTTTGGTTTTCCGAATTTGGAGATGACGATGCAGTTTCGAATCAGAGCATTGAACGTAAAACTCATAGGGCAAATAACTCTAACTCATTAACTACCGTTTCCGTTGGCATGCCGTCCTTGGTATGACGATAAACTACATCCGTTTCCTGGGTATGACGATAAACTACATCCAGTAGCAAGGCCTATGATCAGGAGGTCTTAAGGAGCATGGAACCACCTCTTAATTTCTGCTCTTCCCAGATCCACCCAGACCTGTTAGGGCTCCAGCTACAGACAAATAGTTAACTCCCCAGACTGGTGTCAAATCACTTTGAAAGAGTAAAAATGTTTTAATACCAGCAATACATTTTTGGAAAAAAAAAAATTGCCAGAAATACATTTTGAAAAAAGAAAAAAAAATACCAGCAGTAAAAATCTTAAATAACCCATTGAGGTTGATATACCGTAAAACAAAACAAACCAAACCAATCCGTCGGCATGAAAAATATTCTTGAAGGATTGACACACTTCTCAAAATTAAGATGATCGGATCCTTGAAACTGATCTCTCTAGTTCCAACAGCGCAATAGAGAAAAAGATTCAATACCTAAAAAAAAAAAAAAAAAAAAAATCAAGTATCGTTTCTTTATCATAGAACATCCACGATGTGGCACCAGGGTCTGAACTGGGTTTCCATTTCACTCCAAACCATAGGTGGAACTCAATTAAAATTCAGTTAAAGATGTCTGCCGCTTGGGAAAATACCTGATTTCTGCTATGCCTTTTCTATACAAGAGTCAAATTAGACCAAAAATAGGAGTATTACTGACACATCTGGCCTGGAACTATGCCATCCTCAATTTGATAGTTTAGTATCGTGTACGCGATCTTTTTTTAATCAGTTCACCCCCGCCCAAAAGGTGATAATGCCACTTTGAAGCAAGGAGCCACTGGAAGTGAAAGAGAAA